TTCTGCCTATCTCGCTCTCCCAAAACCTTGGCACTCCTTCTGCGATGATTCACCAGCACATGAGTACAGTCATGTGGGCAAACTCATTCATGAAATTTTCACGTGTTTTGTGGGTGTCGGTAACATGTTTGTGTGGTGGGGAGGGGGCACATACATTCAGGAGCGTGTAGAGGCCAGAGGTCAGTTCCCCTCAGACGGTCTACCTGTTGCCATCTCCCTAGCACTGGGATTACAAGCGCATGCCACCACTTGAAATAAATAAATAAATAAATACATACATACATACATACATACATACATACATACATACATACATAAATAAATAGATAAAACTGTTTGCTTTTAAACGAGGTCTAAGAATTGAACTCAGAATCTCATGCTCCTGGGATAAATACTTCATCAACTAAGCCATCTATCCACCCCTTGCTGGAAATTTTTCTCATTTTACTGATTCCTTCTGTCCATCACCTCTCAAATATGACTAATCTGGCCCTCGAGAGGCAGAGGCAGGCAGATCTCTGAGTTCGAGGCCAGCCTGGTCTACAGAGGGAGCTCCAGGAGAGCCAGGATTGCATAGGGAAACCCTGTCTTGAGAAAAACCAAGGGGGTGGGGCAGAGACTAATCTGTTGTCTAAGTGTGGACTGTTTAATGTGTATGGATATTTTGCTTGAATGTATGTCTGTGCACCACATGCCTGCATGCCTGTGGGACTAGAGTTAGAAACACTTGTGAGCTGTCATGTGGGTGCTGGGAATGTAACCCAGGTCCTCTGGAAAAGCAGCCAGCGCTCCATAGCTCGTAAGCCACCTCTCCAGCCCACTAAGTTGGCTTGTTAATATGATCTCAATAATACTAGTGTTTACTGAATAGCTACCGTTGTTCACAGCAACCTAATTAGAAAGGTGCTTTTATTTTTACCTTTTTAAAAATTTTAATAGTTGGGAAAATTGGAGCCAGGCAAGGTTAGAGACTTGCCAAAAGTCATGCAGGTAGAAAAATGTAGAGCCAAGGTTTGGAACTGAGGTCTGTTGGGTCTGAGTGGACCCTTAGCTATACTGTTTTCCTGAAGTTTAAAGGCAATCCACTGTTTGCCAGGCTCCTACTAGACCCCTGGCGCTGAGCCTAATCATTTAATAGCACACCTGATTAGAGACTTTAAGAACATATTTACATTTCCTTGCCAAGAGAATGGTAACAGTAATATAGTTGATCCCTTTGGCGGAGCAGCTTCAAGTAAACAGACATTAACAAACGGCCGCCCACTGGGTTTGCAGCAGCAAGGTCCACGGCGCGGGAACTTTCAAACTGACACATTTAGATACTTTCCTCTCCCCTCTCTGGTCACACAAGTTATGTTATCCTTAGTAAGAATCGTCTCCAGTACTCCTTTCAGATCGTTAAAAAGCATCCTGACTCCTTTTCGCTTCCAACTGGAAGAACTTTCTGGAACACCCGGATCTCAGGAGCACCTTTGTCCAATTCAGATCAAATAAGATAGTCTCAGTTCCCCCATAACGGCCAATTGGTGCCAGCGTTTAGCAAGCGCCTTAGCCTGGTATTGTTGTCTAAAGATGACTGCTCTCCTGCCTGGAGTGTAGCTTTGGTCCCGGATCTCTTGGTTGTGTGTATGCCCAGGTGGGTGGGCAGTCCTGCAGATATGCCTAATTTGTAGGAACCACTTTCTGAAATCCAGGAATAAACTCTTGGTTATTTTCAGACAAAGACAGAGGTAGTTTGTAGAAATGAGCTAGGAAGAAGCTTAACATACTTCACATTCCAGAAAGTCCCTCCCTTCCCCCCAGGAGAAGGCTTTATCCCCACTCCTTTCTCGGAGGACTTTACTCACAGGAGCTCAAGCTTGCAGCTAGCAGCTGGTACTGTGTGAGTTTAGATCATGACTGCTGTCCTGGAACTCCCCAGTTTGCTTATCTGAGAGAGGGGGCGCACATTGTCGAACCCTACTCTCCGGGTTACTGTAAAGGTGAAGACCTGCAAAGCAGCTAGCTAGTATCCATGCGTTTCCCCAGGGTCCTTATCATTCTAGGAATGCCCAGGGACTCTTTCAGTGTGGTGCGGTGGTATCATCCTACAAATCAGTGTCCTGACAAATGGCCTCAGAATAGCATATACCTCAAAGGTGCCAGGCCCTGGGTTCGATTTCTAGCACTATCAGATACACCAAAACAAAATAAGGAAGCCATTGGGAGTTTTCTCTCTCTCTCTCTTTTTTTTATGTACACTGGTGTTTTGCCTGCACTGTACATTTGTGTGAGGATGTTGAATACCCTGGAATTGGACAGTTAGTTGTGAGCTGCCATGTGGGTGCTAGAATTGAACCCAGGTGCTCTGGTAGAAGACCATCTGCCCCTGAGCCATCTCTTCAACCCCAGAGAATTTTAAGGTAAGCAGTCTTTAGACAGCTGGGTGGTGGTGGTGAATGCCTTTAATCCCAGCACTCGAGAGAGGCAGAGGCAGGCACGTCTTTGTGATTTTGAGGCCAGCTCGGTCCCAAAGGAAGATCCAGGACAGTCGAGGCTATATGGAGAAACCCTGTCTCGAGGAAAAAAAAGAAGCAGTCTTTGCCAGGGGCACATACCTGTTAACCCCACTACACTTTCTCTCTCTCTCACTCTCTCTGTGGAGGCAGGGGTGGGGGTCAGAAGTTCAAGGTCATTCTTAACTATGCAGTGAATTCAAGACCAGCCTGGGCTATGAGATCCTGTCTCAAAACAACAACAAAGTAGAGGAAGAAAAGAAAGAAAATGCTTCAATAATCCTAGCCTGTCTTGTGAACTATCCTGAGGCTAGAGAGGTAGTTTAGCAGTTAAGAGCACTAGCTGCTCTTCTCCCAGAGGACCAGTGTTCAGTTCCCAGGGCCACATGGCTGTTCACAACTGTCCATGACTCCAGTTCTAGGGTGTCTGAAGCCGTCCTCTGTGTTCCCAGACGCCCATGTGGTACAGACATACATGCAGGCAGGCATTCATATGTATAAAATAATAAACACGTCCTTAAAGTTAAAAGGAGACCGGCTTTATGAAATATCTTCTTAGGTTCTAGGTGCATGGCATACGTCCAGAGAGAGGCAATCAGATGGAAAGTTTGCCTGACAAAAGATCAGGCTTGCAGGCTTGATTTTGCTATATGACCTTGGGCAAGAAAACACACTGAGGCCCGGTACATTATGGGGGCTACTGCTTACTTACCAGAGTGTGGTAAAGATCACCTTGGCGAGCTGAGGAGTTAAGAGCCTCCTGTTTGCTTTTGAGGCTGCCTGGAATCGAACTCGAACTCAGGGGTTTGCATCTACTAGGCAAGTGTTCTACTAAGGAGCTGTATGTATCTCAAGCCCCAAGAAGCCCCCACACTTCTAGAACCTTCCTGACCCTGTCCAGGCTCCACAGGCATACAGGCATCAGGCAGGGCAATAAAGCCCCAACTGTAAGGCAGGATTAGTGAGGACCCAAGCAGTGTTCTCTTACCATGATGCGCATGGTCTTTTGAACAGCAACTGTTTTCTTTTCCCAGAGGGGATCTTTGGAGTAAAACTATCCAACCCAGCCCACAGATGTTGCGGTGTGGCAGGCTGCTCATGGAACATTTGTTCCACTTCATCCCAGAGAGGGCCGGGCACAACTTATAGTGGAATTCTGGATTACTTCTCAGCACATCCCGTGTGTAAGCAAACGAGCTGATCAGAATCAGGTGATGGGTAAGACCTCTGGGTCTACAGACGGCTGAACTTCTCTCAGCTCTCAATGTACTTACTCCTTCACTAGCTGGGTGACTTTGCTTGGCTCTGTTTCCTCGTAGGACAGTGGTTCTCAACCCTCCTAATGCTGTGACCCTTTAATACAGTTCCCCAGGTTGTGGTGACCCCCAACCCAAAAATCATTACACCACAAACTCTCAGAGAATGGTTTTTAAACCATCCTACCTGGTCTTAAGAGGCTGGGTATGAAGATGGGCTGGGTGGCACACACCTGTAATCCCAGCACTCAGAGAGGCAGAGGCAGGCGGATCTCTGTAAGTTTGAGGCCAGCCTGATCTCCAAAGCCAGGATCACCAAGGCTAACAGAGAAACCCTGTCTTGAAAAACAAACAAACAAACAAACAAACAAACAAACAAACAAACAGAGGCCAGGGGTGGTGTGGCACACCGTTAGTACCAGAACTAAAGGCAAAGGCAGGCAGATTATGAGTTCAAGGCCAACCTGGTGTACACAGACCAACCAAGGCTATATAATAAGACCTTGTCTCAAAAGAACAAAAACAAGATGGATCATGTCTTTAATCGCAGCACATGGGAAGCAGAGGAAGTCAAATCTCTGTGAGTTTGAAGCCAGCCTGGTCTATGAAGTGAGTTCCAGCCAGGCTATTGTTGTAGAGAGACCCTGTCTCTCTGCAACACCCCCCAACACACAAAAGACCAAAACCAAATAAAACAAAAACTTCAAAAGAACAGGCCTCATATTAAAGAGCTGTATAATTTAGAAAACAATTCAAAGACTACAACGTTACTTGAAATCTGCAAATAACAAACAAAACCAAACAAACAAACAAAAAACCCCAACAACAACAAAAAACAAACAGCACTCCCCTCCCAAAAAAAAAAAAAAAAAAAAAAAACCCAGTGAAATATTTACTGTCATCTCACAGATAAGGCATCAAGAATTCAGAAGGGCAAAAATAAAAGTTCACAGAAGTGGTAGAGCTGGGATTTCGAGCTTTGTAACTTACAATTCAGCACTCTGCAATTCACAAGAGAACTTTGTTTTCACTGAGTACTGCGCCGACAGGACATTGTTTAGACATGTCTGAAAGGGCATTCAGGGACCCAGAGTGGAATGGCCAGGTTAGCAACATGGTAGAAAAATGCAGCCACCCAGAACGCTTGTGGCTGCTCCGAAATAGTTTTCTCTGGTTCAGGAGGACTCAGGTGGCATATGCTACCACGAATCTTACATTTTTGAGAAATCTTTTATTAGAAGATGTCCCAGAAGGCAACAGTTTAAAATCAAGCAATTAATGATTACAACTAAATACAAAATTCCAGGTAAACTTGCCTTTCAAAATAAACCAGACTCTTGCAACAGGAGGTTTTTTTTTTCCTTGTACAAAAACAGGTAACACCACTTTGCAAAAAGCATACAAAAATACAGTATTAAAAAAAAAAAAGGCGCCCCCAGCATAGAACCCAACAGCAGCTTATAAAACATAAGCCATTCAGATGAGACTTCAGCCTGTTTCCCACTTGTCCTCCTAAGATAGTTCCAGGAGTCCCTTGGTGCCTGGAAGTCCTGCCCCAGCAGGTAGAACAGCCACTTCCAAAACTTCCTTTAGGACTCGGCCAAGAAGCAATGCAAAGGCCAATCTCTGTCCGCAGCTGATTTGGAAGTGGTAGATGGTTTTTGAGCGCCGCAGGTAGCATTTACTGTCCATCTGTCCCCGGCACTGTTCTCCTAGCTCCAAACCCAGGGCCCACGGGAAGGAATCTGCCTTCTGGGGCAGAGTTCTGGAAAGGTAGACTCTTCTTCCAGGCAAAGCTTAGGATCTCCTGAGGATGCTCCCATGCCGGCTGCTAGCTTGGGTGACTTTCCTAGATTGAAGGCGGCGCCTAGATTCCACCAGGAGCTGGAGAACACAGCTGGAGCCGATGCTATTGTGGCCTGTCGAGAGCAGTGCACCCTGACAACCCACTAGGAAGTAAGAGCACCTTCTGAGGCACCCACCCCGTGACCCCAAGCAGCTCCCCTCTCAGTCTCTCTGTAAGGCCCAAATTCTGGGGAAAGGATGTGACTGGCAGAGAACCGGGATGGCGGCCGCAGAGTCAGCAAACCCCTTGGAGTTGCTTGAGAAGGACAGGTTTGCGCCGTTCCAGCAGAATTTAGACATGAGAGGCAGGTGGGAAAGAGGAAGTGGTAGGGTTCTTCCTTCCCAGGGACCACACATCTGCCTTGAGAAAAAGTTCCAAGCTGGGCTTCAAATGGCCCTGCAGAAAACACGGGGCAAGGAACGCTGTTCATGAACCAGGATGCCATGCTTTCCCCAGGCCTCAGGCTATGCCCCATTCCCCTAAGTCCTGGGGAAATATTTCTGGTCTGTGTGAAAGGGTGTTGTGGTGCCCATTGCATAACAAAGGCAGGAGGAAACAAAAAAGTCCCTTGTGAGGATAGAAAGGTCCCTCTCTGAAAGGCCCAGAGAGCTCTGAGACAAAGACTCTACAGGCCAAGCCCTTCTCAAAGTCATGGCATTGAGTGTGGAGGGAAGGGCGTGGCCTAACAGCCTAATATAGCTTCAAGGTTTCCACTCCTCAGCTACTGTAAAGTGTCTGACAGTGAGGTAATGGTCCATGCTAATCAAGTCGGTGAGCTCGTCTTCACCCAGGACAGCTTGCTTGTCTCCTGGAAAACAGAGCCTCGGGGACAGCATCCAGGCCCAGCTGTCCTTGCATCATCCCCAGAGACAGCAGTGAGAGCAGCATCTTTTCCTAGCCCAAAGCTCCAGCACAGTTTGAGATTTCATGCAGGCTGCAGCTCTGACATCGTCCACCACCTGTTGCATAGCATCTGTCAGCCTTTCCTCCCAGAGCTGGTGAGCTAGGCAGATCCCAAGCCTCCTCAGTCAGCTGCCTGCTGGGAAGCCAATGGCGCCAGAGAAGGACAGTGCTCCCGTGAATCAGGGAAGAGGGAGTAGTTGGGTTTCGAGGTTTCCAAGAATGCAAGCCCTTATTGTGTGTGCACTGGCTGCAATGCATTCTGGGATCTACTACTGTCCAGGCTGCCCCGCCATAACCAAAATGTGCAAAATTACTAAAAGGGAGAGAGAGGTTAAAAAATAAACTTGTGTCTGTAGGACAGGGAGGTCAGGCTTTTTGGTGGGTTAGTAGCCACTGAGGTACGCAATTCTCTTTTGCAGTTGCTGTTGCCGACACCGGAGCTGCCTTTTCTCTGTAGCCATCTTCTTTTCAGCCCCCACCAGAGCCTGCAAGTATTCTAATGCCTTGCTTAGGATCACGACTTTGGGGGCCTTAGAGCAGCTGGCCAGGGTGGGCACCTGGTCCCGCAGGGCCAGGAATCGTGATCGGAGGTCATTCCTCCTTTTCCTTTCTAGGAAGTTATGGTTCTTTCTCTTGGTCACATCCTCAGTATCAGAACTGGCAGGTCTGGGATGGCAGGACTGGGGAGCTTCGCTTTCCACCGGTGGGGGGCTCACAGTCTCTTCCTCCTCCTCTTCCTCCTCCTCCTCCTCTTTCTCCTGGGGAGCTTCTATCTCCGGAGCCTCCTCCTGGGGACCCCTGTCTGGAGGCCCCTCTTGAGAGCAACTTTCTGGAGGAAAGCGGGCGGCGTAGTTATGCTGTTGTTGGTGGATGGAGATGTGGAAGTGTTTCATGCAGGGGTCCAGGGGGTCTGCTCGCACGGTGATGGTGACCGGCTTTCGGATGTCCAGAGACCGCCTCTTCTCCACAGTCACCACATCGATTTCCTCGCCTTCTGTCCAAAAAGAGATATGAAGAGGAGAAATGTACTCTGTGAGAGATACGTACATACACACACCCTTTCTAAACGTCTCAGCCTGTGAGAGCAGATGACACGTCCATGATTTAGATATCACCGAACTGAAGTGGGGAGAGAGACGGCCGATTCATTTACACTAGGGGAATGGCAGAGTGAAGGGGGAAATAAGCAAGGAAAAGAGTCTCCGGTTTCCTCCTGCACAACAAGGCTTGGATAAGAACAAAAGGCAGACCCAAGCCAACAGCCCCCAGTCTGTAAGGCTCTCTCCTCCCCCACTGAGGGGATGGAGAGAAAAAGCTACCGGCCTGGGACAAAGTTTAGCTATAAAGATCTTCTCCATTCGGGCTCTTTCATGCCCCATCAGAATTGTAAATGAGGGGTCTGTGGGCAGAGTTGCCCTTTGTTCCTGCCCAGCACAGCCTGCGCTTGGGAATTGTTACTTTTCACAAGTTATAAATCCTATTATCCCCCACCTCTCTATTCTGCCATCCTTTCAGCTGAAGATGCAGGGAAGGGAGGGCTACAACTGGTTCTCTGCAGCCACGGAGAGGAGGGGAAGGGTTTCCCTCAGGAGCATTTTGTTCCGGGGTTCAATGGGTTTCTAAAGCCATCCATCATTTATAGGTCATCTGCCCCACCCCCACCACTGGACCAGAAGAGGGTTGTATTTATAATCACAGGTCATAAGAGCCTCAGGAACTTCACAAAGGTACAAGGGACCATTTCCCAACGAGCTGCACCACAGGAGCATTAGAGTGACCCAGATACAAAGATGCCAGGGACTCAGAGACACCAGGAAGTATCCCTACCATTCCCTATCTGGAAGATCTGAGATGAAGCAATTAGGTAAGGCAATTAGGGAAAGACCCTCCTGCTCCCCACATTTTGTAGTCCTCAACATAGAAGACCACCTTTAAAGCATTCTGGCCGACAAGAGAAGAGCTCCGTTCTCTGCCTCTTTTGCATATCAGGAGGCTTGAGACCCTTTGTCAGGAAGGTTTCCATTGTGTGGACAATCGCATTATTTCTCCATTAATAAAACCTGACCATTCAGCCCCCTGGCCTCAAAGCCTGTGATTGGCTGGCTAAACAGTGTTTGGAATGCTGTTTTCCCTAGTCCCTAGTCCCTATTGGCTGAGCTGTGCCGTCAGTCACACTCCCCACCCCACCCCCTCATTGTTTGCAATCTGTTGCATTTTGTTCTAGGCCATGTGGCCAGAGAGTGAATCAGGGAGCCCACAAACAGGTTCAGGTTAGAGGGCAGGTCAGAAAAATGATTCAAGTTTCCATACATCCCAAACCTTTAATTTTCACTGTTAAATCTCACAGCACGGAGAGCTGTATCTAAGGAAGGTATCATTTAAGACACCATTCTCCTTTGCAGCAAGTAGTATCTGATTCTACAAGATAAGCGGTGTCCTCAGCTGGACAACCAAGTTCAACCCTCCTCGTTTTCAAAAGAAGAAGCGGAGGCCCAGATCAGACCCACCGTCCGTCCCTTTTTTGAGGGTCTGGGTCCCAAATAAGGATCTCCAAACTTCCAAAATGAAGATCTCTCCTCCAACAGCCCTTGTTGAGCTGGGTCTCCACTAGTTTCTTGATCTCAGGATTCCCATCTGAGCCATTAGACAAACACAAGCTCCCTTGGCAAGTTAAAAACCACCTTAACACAGTGGCTCCAAGAAAAAAAAAAAAAAAAAAAAGAGAGAGACTTTTAATTTGGGTCTAAATATAAAACAACTTCCACATCCAATTCCTCAGTTCCCTCTCAAATGCTATTCTTTCTCACTGCAGTGACTTTTCTGTCACAGTGAGCTTGCCAAAGCTGCACCTGCAATGCCACCCTTTCCAGTGCTCCAGTGAGTAGGGGGGCTACGAGGCTGGGTAAGAAGGTGGTCTGACCTCAGTGAAGTCAGCCCTTCATCAGGACGGAGGGCGGCCTGGAGTGCTGTGACCATTACCTCAACACCAGCTCTTCTCCCAGAGATGGGACAAAGTAGGAATCAGTGAACATTTGTTGACTGCAGAAGAGCAGCTGAAGTGCACAGATGTACTGGGAGGGAGACTGGGCACCTACCTAAAGCCAACGCAACAGGCAGGGTGCAGCCCTTCTCAAAGAAGCTTTGAGGAAGACCTGCCCCAGCCCCCCAAATATCAAGGAAGACTGGGGAGGACGGTTGGGGGGGGGGGGAAGCTGGCTAGACAGCGGGAGGCCTGGGCTCACTCCACTCATTTCCTGTCTCCCAGCCTCACTTTTCCCATCTGTTAAGAGGAGCGTCTATTTTTCCTCCACCTGTCTCACGGGTCACTGGTGGTGAGGATGTTTAAGGGGTAAGGAGAGGGACTAGGACAAGAGAAGAGAATTAAAGTAAAGCAGGCAGGAGGTTGTGGTTTTTGAGTGAACGAGGGCTTTTGGTTCTGCACAAAAGGTTCCTTAGTCTTTTTCTCCCTTAGGGAAGTGTGAGTTTCCCAGGCAAAGAGGCAGTAACAAAAAAAGCTTCAAGCTTGGAATGACTCTTAAGGGAACCCTTTCAAACCACCCAAGGACAGAAATCCCCTACAGTCCGATCCGAGTATTGTCCTCTCTAAGCGCCAAACCTCACCAGTCGCCCCTGTCCCCTGGGGCTCCAATCACCATCAGAGGGACGCTGGCTCCCTCCCCACTTCTCCAAACTGTTTACCAACACACCCACGTGCCAGACAGACACAGCTGGGGGCTACTCCGACGGCTTCCGTCAGAAAATGGGGAGGTGATGGGAAGGTTTAAGACCCGAGACTTGGTCTCAGGCAGCGGTAGAGCTCTGGCCACCCATGAGGTGCCTCCCCCTTAGCTAGCCCGGGGTGGTCCTTACCGGAGTCGCTGGGGCTCTCGGACCCGGAGCAGGCCTGGGTTTTGGGCTCGCTCAGCTGACACTGCGTGGCGGGCGCCGGGTTACTGGTTTCCAGACTGGGAGTGCCGTCCGAGGTAGCGGGCGCTTTGGGCGGGTTCCCCCGGGGCGCGCCTGGGGCGAGCCTGTCGCTCACCGCTCTCTCCAGCCGTTCCCGGGCGGAGAAGCCGCTCCACATGCAGTCGCGACGGATGATGGAAGCATAATTCCTGCCCCAAGCTTTCGAATGGCCCCGAGATTCCGCCTCGTCCCCGGCACCCCCTCCGGGCCACGGCTCCCCGGGACTAATCCCAGAGGCTGGGTCCCCGGCGCCGGGACCGGAGCCCCAGGGAGGCGACGTGGGGGGCGACGGCACCAGCTCGAATTTCTTCCAGATGTCCTCGCTGGGCGCCGTGGAGCGGTAGAAATCCTCTCCGCAGTCATAGTCGTAGAAATAGTGCTGGTACGAGTCGAAGTCCATGTCCGCTCCCTGCGGGAGGGAAGGGGAGACGTGCTGACTGCGGTCCCGGCCGAGGGAAGAGGCGGCTCCGAGTCCCTCGCCGCAGCCAGCTGCGGGGCTCCGGTCCCTCCCCAGGCCCAACAGCTTGCAGCCCGCGCCTTGACCCCTGGTCCCGGCAAGCCTGGCCTAGGGTCAGCTCGCTCGGGGCAGCTCGCGGCGGGCCGACCAGGCTGCGGGGAGCGAGTTCAAAGCAAACTTTGCCAGCACCGCCCGGAGCGCAGCTCCCGGGGCACAGCAGGGCCGGGCGGGGGCGCGCTGTCTCGAACGCAGTCTGCAGCCTTGCAGCCCACCCGTCCCCCGGGAACCCGTGCCCGGGCCACCCGCAGCCTCACCTCGCTCCCGCCGCCCGCCACCTGGAGCGGAGCGGCTCCCCGCCGGCTCGGGGAAGCCCGGCAGCCCGCACACACACACATGCGCGCCACCGAGCGCGCGGCCCCGCACTCACGAGCGCGCCCCCCGCGCGCGCTCCCCCCTCCTTGCTCGCACACGGCAGCCAGGACGCTCCCGGGATCGACGCGGGAGCGCGATCTGCAGGCGCATTGTTTCCCGACTGCTTTATATCTCGTCGCGTGCCCGGGGCTTGGGGGACCAGGGGAGGGGGGGTGGTCCCTAGGAGACAAGCCCCACCCCCTCCCTCCCCTCTTTCCACTGGCGACAGGTGGGGCCGGCCCCACCTCCTGGCCGCACTGGTCGTTTCTATTCTATCCCTTGAAGCCCCCCTAATAAATTGCTGGGGAGCGCGGAGCAGAAGAGCTGATGCAGCCCCGCGGTCTCCTGGTGGAGGCGTGACTCCTCAGAGAGGCTCTGGCGGTCCCGGCGACCTCACTAAAGCCGCGCTCCACGCCTACTCAGAGCTAAGGACTAGAGCTGCTCCCCGCCCCACCCTGCTAGCCTACTTCCCAGGGCGCGCCCCACTGGGTTCAGGTGCGTCCCACCCCTGACAGAGGTGGAGGTGGGAGTGCACACACTGCTCCTCCACCGCGCCACCTGGCGGCCCGCGGCCCTGAACCCAGGCTCTTCAACCCATTGCTCCATCAACCCTTAGCCCATTCCTTAGCTCAGTGGCTCAAACCTGAAGAGCAGGGAAGATTGCGGGCTATGAAGCATGCAACACATAACCTCTCCCGAGCCCCAGTCTCACCTGTGAAATGAAGGAACGGTAATGACCTCATGGGGTCGTCTGGGAGGATCTGTTTACTAAAAAGATAGAGCATCTTGGGAAGGGACGTGAGAGAATGGGAACACCACCGGCTCAGCCCCTGGGGAGGGTAGTGAGACACCCCCACCCCCTCCAGGCCCTAGCTGGAACTTGATCCCTCCTTCACAGCCCTGACTCCCAATACTCATCCTCCACACAAAACTCACCTAAGAGCTGTTTTAGAGGCTGGGGTCTGGGGGTGTGGAGACTTCATTCAGGTCCCTGTTTTATACTTCCTAGCTGTGGGGTCAAGGTGTTTGAAGCTTTGCCTGGAATCCCTGGCCAAGATGATGAATATATAATTCCTTTGTGTTATAGTACACGTTACCTTCGAAGGGGGGGAAAAACAAACAACTTAACTACACAGCCTAAGATTTAGTCCAAGGAAAGTAATTTAGGATAGCAGCCAATACATCTTGATGCCTCCACCTGGCATCAAGGTCTGGTGTCTGGTTGTCTGCCATCCTTCTCTTCCTCCCACCCTTTTCTTCTAACTACTCCAAAGTACCCACTGTTGCCATCCTAACAGACTGAAGCCAATAAGTATAAACACTTCTCTTTGTTTTGGAATAGGGGACGGGAGCTGTGAGATGACCCATGAGTTGGGTGAGAAGGCAGGGCGTGTGTGACTCCGTTTTCCATTTGTTGTGTCTAAGGTGTGTGGGGGACATCCTTGAGAGCGGGAATCAGCTCTTACTTGCTTTGTATTCCTTACACCTAGACCGGCTTCTGGCAATATTTATGCACTGACTTCCTGAGTGACCTAGCCAACCAGAGTTTATTGAGACTGCCTGTATGCCCTGCTCTGGGCTGTCCCTGGAGGCCCAGAAAAGACTCCAAGTTTGTTTGCAGCCCTGTTGTAAAGGGATTAGACTGCTTTTTCGGTGTCTTGTTCTCAGGCTTGCAGAGGTTTGGGGTGGTTGCTGTACTGATCAGGAGTCTTGGTTACAATGGCAGGAACCAAAATCATCAGGACAATATCCGTTTACATTTATTTCTTTTATGTTCATTGGTATTTGGCCTGTGTGTATGTCTCTGTGAGAGTGTTGAGCCTCTGGAACTGGATGGAGTTGCAGACAGTTGTGAGCTGCCTCGTGGGTTCTGGGAATCGAACCAGGATCTTCTGGAAAATCAGACAGAGCTCTGAACCACAGAGCCATCTCTCCAGCCCGGAAAATAACTTTTAAGGGAGACATTGCTGTGTAGAATTCATAGGAGGCTGGGAATCTGTGTTCTGTGTGTGTGTGTGTGTGTGTGTGTGTGTGTGTGTGTGTGTTGTTTTTGGTTTTGAAACAGAGTCTCACTCTGCTGCCCAGGCTTAGCTAGAACTCACTATATAAAGCCAGACATGGTGGCCCATACCTGTATTCCCAATACAGCCTTCTAATGCTATAACACAAGGGTGTTCCAATTCCCTTGCTGGAGACAATCTAGCAAGGAGACTATTGCCTGATTAAAGATTTTAATGTAGTGAGGGCATCATGGCACACACCTGTAATTCTAGCTACCTGGGAAGCTAACCACAGGAGGATTACTTGAACGTTGGGCAACATATTGAAACCTTGCCTCAAGACTAAAATAATTTTTCTTCAGGGATGGGAATCAAACCTAGGGTCTAATGCAGGCTGGGCAAAAGCTTTACCCCTGATCCATATCCCTAGACCTAAAGTATTAAGAGAGCTAAGAAAGTATCGGTGCTAGTCCAAAGGGTCTGGGTAGCAGAGAAAGCCAGATCATGGAGACTGGTGATGGTGATCCCCAGCAATATCCATCAAGAGCTCTCTGGATTGGGGTTGGAGAGATGGCTTAGAGGTTAAGAGCACCTGCTGCTCTTCTAGAGAACTCAGGGTCAATTCCCAGAAACCACACAACTGTCTGTAATTCCTGTTCCAGGAGATCTGACACCCTCACACAGAAATAGACGCAGTCGAAACACCAATGTATGTATACATAAAATAGAAACAAATTATTAAAAAAAAAAAAATCTCTCTGCGTGCAAAGTGCTGGCCCAGGGTCTGGGAAGATGGAAACATCGTTCTTTGAATTCTCTTAGTTCATCCCCCACCTTACTTATGTGCTGGCTCATCCAGCAGCTCTCTGAAAGCCATTCTGCTCCTCATGTAGCTCCGCCCACAGGGAGAGGAGGCACTCAGCAACAAACAGAGAAATCCAGTGTGTTCCAAAGCCTCACTTCCCCTTATAAATTAATGAATTGGCGTCTGATTTGAAATATCAGTCTCATGAGCCTGGTTAATGTGTGTCTGTTCCGAGGAGAAGCTGCAGCTTTTAGGACTAACAACTGTGGTGTCTGAGTTAATGTCTGGACCCAGCACGGTGATAAATTCACCAAGGTAACAAATGCTACCCTGGAGACAGCCAAATTATCTGCAATTTTGTTGTTGTTGCTGCTCTAATTCATTAAAAATATATACATACATATATGTGTGTATGTATACTGTGTTTGTGTCGGGGGTATGCGGAGGTCGAAAGACAACTGGTGGGAGTCAGTACCGTTCTCCCAACGTTTCGGGAATTAACCTCTGGTCACTGGGTTTGGCAGTAGGCGCCTTTACCCACTGGGCCATCTCACTGGGCTTGATGTTTTGTTTTTATTTCTCTGAGACAGAGATTCATCTAGCACAGGTTGTCCTCTAACTAACTCACTGTGTAATTAAGGCTGCCTTGATTGAACTCCTGATCCTTTTGCTTCCAGCTCCCATGTGCTGTCATTGTCTGCATTAAAAAAAAAAAAAAGTTATTTATTTATCTAGGTGGGTTTATTGCTTGTTTTGTTTTGCTTTTAAGATGGGGCCTTATTTAGCCCAAGCTGGCCTGGAACTTCTGTCCACCCTCTGTCTCAATGCCTGCCTCAACCTCCCAAGTATTGGAATTATCTATCATTTACTTATTTACTTTTGTTTTGCTTAAAGAATCTGTAGGCCATTCTGGCTTTGAACTTGTGGCAATCCTAAGTGGAGAGAGAGAAAGAGAGAGAAAGAGAGAGAGGTGATTTATGCAATTAGTTGCATATAGTCAAAATAGCATGGATATTGACTATTTGTTTACTTAAAAACTGAGGGATGGTTAGGTAACTCAGAAGGTAAAGCATTTGCCTTCAAGCCTGACAACCTGAGGACAACAATTAATTTAATTTTATTGTTGCCTGCGTAGTTGAGGGTATGTGCATGTGAGTGCCGGCACGCATGTCACTGCCCACAAGCGTGCAGGTCAGAGAACAACTTCTGGGAGTCAGTTTTCTTCTTTCACTGTGGGCTCCTGGGTATCGAATTCAGGTGATCAGGTTTGCATGGCAAGTGTTGTCACCTACCGAACTAACTTGCCCACTTGGCTCAGCTCTGTGTGTGTGTCTGTGTGTGTGTTACCAGCCTGACTTTACCGCTCCTTTCTTAAACATTTTTTTCAGCTGATTTGCTTCATTTTTCTTTTGTTTCTATGTACCTATTAGGTATTGGAACACCACCTCTCCCATTCACACCAGCTACAAAGGTTACTTCATGCAGTCTAGTCCAGCATACCAGCTTATCATTCTGTCAGTTACATTTCTCTTTTTCTTGGAATCATTGTCTGGGGACTGTTTGTCTTCCTGTTTGAATCTGATCTTAGTGGTTTCTTGGCTGGCCTCACCAGTCTCAGCCTAGAACTTCCCTTGGAAACCCCCCCTGCTTCTCTTCTGTGCTGATGGGCTGTCATGTAGAGCTCATTTTCTTCCTCTTTCTTGACTTACTTCCTCACTCTGGTGAGGCACATCCTCCAACATCTGCCTGAGAATGTGTACTTGGAAAGAAAAAATTCTGAGATTCAGCCTTACTGAAGTGGTATTTATTATACCCTCGCCTTTGGTTGATAGTTTGGCTTGGTATAAAATTCTAGATTTCCCCTGAGAACTCTTTGGTTCAGAGGGTGTTGCTTTCCTGTTCCCTAGCAATTACTGGTGTACTGAGAAAAATGACACTATTTGTTCTACAGTCCTTTGTTTGTGACCTGCTTTTCTTAATACTTTGAGGTTGTACTCTGGTCTCTAGCATTCTGAATTCAATATGTTCTTGTGTGGATCTATTGTAATAAAGAATTTGACGGGCCTTTGTCCCTGGTAGTTGGGAGTTAGGAGGGAGTCTTGGAATTACCCAAGTATCAGAAATATCTTCTTTATTCATGGTGGCCTCAATAGTTTGTACTGCTATGGTGACTCATGGT